GCATCCATGAGCACCACCCTGCGTGGTTGCGAAGTGGAGTAATTAAGACGATCACAAGTACGGTCATGTCGCACCTTGTCGACATTAATCCCATTGTCAACGTGACCGACGCTTTCTGACCCCTGTTAGTTAGAACAGTTAGAACAGTAGGGGGATGACGTAGCACCGAACGGATGCGACACCATTTGGAACTCTGTAATTTGTCCGTTCACATGTCCTACTGTCCACCAGAGGAAACTTAATACACCTCTGTCTTCGTCTGGAACCTTGACCTGCGTAAACATCTCCTGAATATCGGCCATCAACGCGATACGCTCCTTGCGAAACCGAAGGTTCACCGTGGTGTCAGGTCCTTGTAGCACCATGCTGTTCAATGACTTACCCATGTGCTTGACGGCGCAGTCTAATACTATACGGATTTTATCCGGTTTCTTTGAGTTGATCACGGCGTGATGCGATAGATACCACTTCGGCTGATATTCCTGGTGAAGCTGGTAGGCGGGCATCGGGGTCGCATGCTCCTTATCGATCATTCGTTTCATTGCCTTGGCGTACCTCTTTCGTAGGGTTTCGTTTTGCTGATGGCATTTGATGACCTTCTATGCTCATTTTCCGCCCAGATGTTGTCTTTAAATGGTAAAGAAATGTACACTGACTTATCAGCATTTCCCCTCTTGGAAAACGCCTCTTTGATAGCTTTCTCCTTTTCACTTTGTTAATCTTTTTCTGTTACTAGTGAGATTTTTTGTGTCGTAATGGAATGAGTAAGACACAATGAAAACGTGCTTTTTTGCCAATTTGTCTTCTCACTGAAATCGGACTTTATAGTCGAATAAACGAACCCATTGTTCCCCTTGCAATGCTAAGTGCTTCCTCGTAATTTGCTTAAATAGGATGGTAAATGCGGGAGTTTTCAGAGTACTGAAGTTTCAACTTCCAATAAAATGCATGACCTCATTGTTTATTGAAAAAAACATTCTTGGTTTGAGCAGATGCGATTCTCTGAAATTGTATCACATTAACGTTACACGTTTTTGTCACAGTTAATATTTTATCATATGAATTGATGGTAATTCTAGAAGGAAGTGTTCAATTTACTCCTAGAATTTAAATGACTTGAAAATTTGTTGATATCCGGATAAGCTGACTGACAAAGTTGACACAAATACAACACTTCGTTTAGGTATTACAGGTTTATCTTTTTTAATATCTCGTAATAAATTTACGAATCGGGCTTGTACCACACAAATCGCAAAGCTTTCTTGGTCAACTGAATGTGCGAATAGATAAATGGATAGCACATTTCATTCCTCATTTCGACATGCTTACTATAAACCCTTTCCCAACGCATTGCACGAAACGTTTTCTGGTGTCAATAGACATATTCTAGTTTGAATAATATATGGTCAGTAAATAACAGAATCATAGGCGGGGAAAGATTGCCTATGATTCTTATATTTACTGACCACATATTATTGATCACGTAGACCGCAGTATGCACGTTTATAGATGCAGCGAAAGGGTCCAGGATACATTGTGCAAACCTGTGTTTTTGGCTTCTTTATTCAAATTCGTTACGGGGAAACTTTGCTTGCAATATTCTAGTTTATTCGATTTCGTATCACAATCGAGGCAATATTACTCAATTGTGAACCAGCCGTATCGATGCGGATGTTAAGGTAAGGCTGAAGGACAAATATGTACCTCAATGGAGCCGAAAGTCCATCATTGTAATTAAGTTGTTTTCATTATGAAGATGAAATTTTTATTATCATAGTAAACAAGCAAATAATTCAGTTCGCTAAATGATATGCCTGTTGTAACTAGAACCACACCTCTTTTTTAGTCCGCAAGGCAAATTTGTGTTCACTGAAGTTTTTTTCTGAATTTGCCTACATCTCGTGGCAATACATTGCTGAGATTAGTCACTAAAAAAACACATTAAACTTCAGTCTTCGAATGAAAAGTACTAAAGGATGTCTAAACTAAATGCGATTAGACACTCGAAAAGAGCAAGAGGTCAAGATAGACACCCCTTTGTGATTGTGGAAAGCATTCAGTCCTATTTTTTGTTTCATTGTATCGACCGAATGCAACATGAGTTGAGACGTCACAGGTTCAGGGGATGTGCCCAATCGGAAAGCAGAATGACTCNTGTAACCTTAATTAGTCCATTTGGTCATTGTGTTTCGGGCAAACTCCGGCAACGTTTCCAGTGATACCGTCATGATCAAAGATTTAACCTCAATGATCAAACTATTCCAGTTAGATATTTCAAGTCAGGAATCACCAACATTACAAAAGACGTATCCCGTTTCCGGTAATATGTATTCCAAGGACAAAATATCCGCACGACAAGTGTTATATTGGATCATGCATGTTAGACGTTGCCCGAACGCATGTGCTGCGCATTTCGTCAATCGATCTGTACGGTTCAGTCTTGCTCTTAACAGAACAGTTACCGGCCATAGACTAAGTTTTCTTTTCATTTCGTTCACGCTTTAAAAGTGAGTGAACACTTCGGTAGTCCAGCAGGTTTCACGGTAATTCTGAATGAGGAGTAAGCTTAGTTATCCAGGTTGGATTGGACGATACGACTGGACTCGCACAAGTCGTGACCAACGATACAGGCGGCAGCAGTGAGCCACGAACAGAACCGTGCGATGCAGCGGTACACGGGTGAGCCCGACTGCGGTACCCCATGCAACTGCCAATAAAACCGGAAGGAAACGTCTCCTGAAAGCAGTACGATCTCCGAAACCCGATCAGAGAAAACACGGAAGATTGTGTATTTCGCTCGACCGTAGAGGGCGAAGGAAGCGGACAGGTCGTCTGTTTATATACAGTTTCGGGACCAGCCATCATTGACCTTGGAAAAGAGCTCAAAATTAGTGAATCATGAAAAAATAGACCAATGGGGATGGTCATTGATGATGTACGAGTATTTTTGGGCTCCAAAATCTGGAAATTCAGATTATATAAAAAGAAATAGAAAACTAGGCAGAAATAGAGGGTGAAAAATAGGTTCTACCTATCACATCCCAGGGTTACTTTGTGAAGTGATTTCGGCACAGTCGTAAAACGTGACCGCAGTCTGCTCAGAAGTTAAAAAAACAACAACAGAAACCACAAGTGCCTTTCATTCGTGTGTGTTAAACGTTCAGTTGGTTGTTGAAACTACATATGTTACGTGTTTATACATTCAGGAGAGTTTGGCCTGTAGCTGTGGTCATTTTTTTGAAAATGCACTCGTCAGATCATTCTCGACAACCTGTTCCCGTTTATTTAGAAATCGACACACCNAAGATGCGGTGTATCGCGTGCTGGAATACCTGGATCAAGACCGGGATGGGCTGATTACTAGAGACGAACTGATCGCTGTGGATCCGGACAATATCACTGAATCGGACGTGGATATGATATTCAACACGTTTGATACCGATGGAAAAGGATATATACAGATGGTTGACCTGCGGGTGTGGTCGGAAGATATACGAGTCGTGTAGACAACACACGGAGGAGCACATGCAACAATTCAAAAATATCTACAAATACTGTCAAATAAATGAAAACTTTGCACGACTATCACTTGAAAATAGGTAACATTTTGTTATCCTCGGGAAAACCTTGTTTAATGTTCACGATTTGGTAGCCGGTACAAGAATCCCCCTAAGTTTGGGATCAACGAAATCAGTTCTAGTAAGATGCAAACTGCATGAACGGTGAATGTGCACTCGTATTCTTCGCAGCGTAAGTCTAATGGAAGTGTACGGTCAGTGGATAGGTATGCTTCCAGGAGAAATTTTGGGCGGTGTTGGCATCCGTGATAGCGTTATCAAAACATCACCCTGGAAGACGTACGTTCGAATCCCACTGCCACTGGTTGTATTCTCGCATTGTGTTGTATTGCATTTCTTTGATTGGCCGCTTCCACCGTTGTGAAAATATTATCAATACAAACAAGTAAATGTGTAGAGAAAAAGGAAGGTAAACAAGGAATAAACGAGAAAGATAGGAATGCAGATGTTCATCGTGAGTAGACAGGTATCGTTTTTCTGAACGAACGGAACAGAGATACATACGGATAAAAATAAACTTCATGCTTTGGGGGATTCTTCACTGTATTATTGATCAACGATTTATCGAGGAGCAAATCAATCCTTAGATGAGAGAAAATTCGGAAAATTTATTTCGTTTTGAGAGCCGAAATTTCGACCGATTCAGGTATGGTTTTAAATTTGGCTAATCATATCCGGTTGTGGACCTGCGTTTCATTGACACTCAATGGTAATGGAGTGGTTCGAACCTGAAACGCAGACATTTATTGAAAGCACTCGATAACAGGTAATCGAACAATTGGAAACTAGAAACAACTTTTCCAGTAATTAGGTTGAAAAGAGACTGTAGCAGGAGGGTTACGTTGTACAATTTGCATCCGGCTGAATTTTGCTGTATCTCATCAATTACGGATTATATAACACTGATAATCAAAGCTAGTCAATAGATTTTCAGGCAGAGTTCACAAATTTCATGGAAGATCCCGTTTTCTAAAGGAAAGGAGTCATTCCTTTCCTTGGAATTCACTTGGTGAAAACTATGACAGTTGTGAATTGATTATTACTATAATTAATGAAATAATTAATTTCAATTATTATTAATTATCGATAACTTCATTAGTCTGTTGATATCGTAATTATTATTATATTACCCGTAGTATGCATCTGATAAGATACAGTGAAATATATCCGGATGAACATTGTCCAACTTGAAACTACAAGGTGAAATAGGAAAACATGTGAATGAGCATCTCTAAAACCTGTAGAATGTTATGAAAGTATTACGATCCATGTCTGAAGGACGGACACCTTGACACTTACATATCCCTAAAATAGGTATACCAGTTATTTATCCTTTCCCTCTTGTTGTTTTGAATGCGGATCTCACGAATCTGCATCAAGTTTCGACAGATTTCACCGAATTGCATGAATATGTAAGATGTCATTCATTGACGACATCAATAGAGCACACAATACAAGTGGTTGCAAAGATCGGCTTCACTTGGCAAAACAAGAATCATTCGAAAGATTTTCGACAGAATCTGTGCACAACATCTGCTCCATACTGTTTCTAGAACTAGCACACCTTTGCAGAGGAATACGTAATCAGGGCTGCACGACCCTGCACGTACAGCCACGTGAGAGCCCCATGTGGGTACTGTTCTCGCGGATAACTGAAGGTGTTTACACACCCTACGGTGAGCGAAAAAATGATGCAAACTGCGCCTGCCTGGTTCAAAATGAGTCATCAGACACCAATGCCCGATATCTGTATTTGGGGTAGTTTTGTGCCAACAGTATTGACATTGATAGATCGTGATAGAAAACAGCACGCCAACCAGTAATGGATGTTAGAAACGTATAACTTGTGCCGTCAATGTTATTCTGTCCAAAGTAGACTATATATTTTGCTTGGTTTCCACAGAAAAGAAAATGCAGGTCAGTTATGTGATTGTGAACCTCTACTGAACTAGGAATACTGCAAACGTATTCACGTTTCAAATTTAAGACGACAGTTACTCTATAAATGACCGCTCCAAATACGGGTGCATCTTTCGGCTGACGTCCCCGTCCAGGTGTTCGCAATATGCAACACGTCTCAAGATCTATTTTAGGATGACCAACTCCACACAAACTGACGACTAACTAGATATTCCTGATTGCGGATTGTTGAGATTCGTACGAGGACTAATAACTCGTGTACTTGTCGAGTTCTGCGCAGTAATAATCTAGCCCAAAACTAAAAGTTAAAGTGAAATTAGAGCACATACAAATCATATTGCAATCTGAGAGAAATGGGAGCGTACACGGATCGTCTGTTCAGTCGACGAAGCGGGGTTTCAGTCTACGTTCAATCACCAGATCCGCCACAGTTTGAGTGAAGCTCTAGCTTTCTGTATTCGCGGTGTTCCGATGTTGGTACTTTGGTAATGCGTGAAAAGATCGTTCATTGTGCGAAATTCAAACTTCACTGCCAATTCTTACAATTTCATCTTCATATACACTACTCAGTTGGTCCAGTTAATCCGTCACTCAAATGCCGTCGATTGGAATTTCCTTCTCATTTTAGAGTGATGTGAACGGGAGACATGTTCGGCTGTTCCAAATTGCTAGCAGGCCAAGTGTAATGAATACTTGCCCGCCTTTGATCACTACATCTGAACAGACTTGAATGGACAACACCGTTCAAGTTCGACGAGTACGGTTCATACTTTGACAACCGATTGAGAGTGTGCTCGTCGTTCGCACAGAGCAACGGTTTCTAAACAAATGCGCAATAGGTTGCGTCTGGGTTCATATATTCGACATTTGGAGACGATACCAGCCTGAATGGATTAAGGGCCATGGAATAATCAGCGTACGAGCTGGATGGGACTTTGGAGACAATTGACTGAAGTGAATTAAAAGATGTCTTTTTACTTCCTTTTTCTATTTATTGAATATATAAATGTACTGTAAATTTTCAGCAAAGAGACAGCGTCCATACAAACGCTGCCTAGGGAAAAAACAGATTTCGGAATGACGGGCGGCGGTGAAGCGGTTTCAACCCGGTACACGGAAATTGAACAGCTTTTCGGACTGATTCAGTTGAAAAATGATTCTAAGGAATCTGGAAGAGCATTAAAACACGATTCCTGTGAACACTCCCAGCCGAGTGCAAAGGTGCTGAATCATTTGAGGAGGTGATAAAATACGCGAACCAGGACAATGAGGTAGAGGTAGCGAGCGAGAGAGAGACGCAGCAAAGCGCAACTAAATGTGCACGATAGGGCTGCAAATGTCTCTACCTCATTGGCTTTTATCTCGCGCTGCAACTGAACACCGTGCTTTTACGTTTCAGACCATCCGGTGGAAACTCCCAATCAATCTGATCAACCGCCATCTGTGATGAATGACTGACTGTACCTTGGAATCGGTTGACAACGTATGAGATGAAACATTGTTGGAAGATCTTGAATAGGGACTGGGAGTAAATAGCTGATTGCCTGATTGACCCAATGTATTCACGCAAACAGTCCCTTCTGTTCGTTCGCTACTGTGCTTCGAATTTATCTGATGAGCTGCATATTGCTTTATGCATGCCAACCTTATTCTCAATCCTCCATGTGTACACTGAAACATCCAATGGTTTCTAAAAAATCAACTGGAGATTGTGCAAGGCTTGTACTAATTAATTCCTTTTCAAAAATAGATATGCCACTGTATCAAATGAGTGACTTAATCTATCCAGAACAAGGACCTAAACGACGATAATCGACGGTCATGTGGCAAGTATTCCAATGTGGATTTACAAAAAAGGCATTGATGAAAGCACGTGAATATGTCGTCCGAGAAATGGTATATTCCCGTTATGTAAAACATCACCTACAAAGCTTTTGGTGGTATCAGATTTAGCCGAACCATGCAATCACTGCACGCACACTTTACCGCTCACCTTGATTGTCATCAACGTTGGTATGTTTTTTGGTTTCACATTTTTCAGCAAATGCGGTCAGCGTGACTCACAGTCAATGCGTAACAAAATGATCTGCCGAGGATTAATGATTTAAGTATTTGAAAACCATGCACAATGAGCAGATATGGACAAACCGCTTGCTTTGTTCTGTTTTGCATTCCCACCAAAAGAACTTAGTCGATCCAAACATCATTCATAATACTATGTTGACACGACAAAGACTCTGATGAAGCCTAGCGATAGTTGTTTTTTATCTTTGGAATATTTTGAAACCAACAGCCTTTGAGCAAGAGCCTTTCACTTATACATCGTACAGTTCTTGTTCATCGCCACAATTTCGTATACGTTAACTGAATCCTGTTATTCGGCGTATAGCGAAAAGAAGAACTCAGTCTTGAAATGCATCTAAAGGAAAATTTTCCTGTCACAAACATACCTGATACCGTATTAATGACATCATCTGAGGCTTCCCGCCTGTGTTCGTCAGATGTGTTAGAAACGGCTTCTATTCTTTTTCCATCCATATCAAGTCCATGGATTCTTATTAGTCACATTTACAGCTTCTAAACAGAACGCCTAGCTATTGGTTCCCTTACTGTTTGTCTGTCCTAAATAACTTATTAACTTTGGAAACATTTAGAATTACCGGTGTGGGAATAAGCCTAAGGAATTAGATGGATGCGCGACCAAATACATGCTAGAAAACGTATTTATTTAACAAGACAGATCCTCGTGTCATGAATCCCGTCGTTCCTACATACCTCATCTTGATTTTATGATGTATTGCTAGTATTTATGAATAGCGCTTTTGATATACATATGAAGAGTTGGTTAGTGGGTTCTCAGGAATCTGGGATTAGATTAAATTATATATTGTTGCAACTACAGAGGGGAAAAAGACACTGTCGAGCTGGTTACCCACAGATCGAAAGCCTTTCATTACATTATTACCGAGCTGTTGCAAATTATTATTATGTTGAGCAGGCAAGTCTAAAGACAAACACTGCCAGAGGAATGCATACTCTCCCATACTCTCATCGGTTGAGCACCCTTGACAAATATAGACAAATAAAGCGTATTACAAAACCTACTTCGGTTCATTTGTGTTTTTGTGTTTGTTTGTTTACTGTGTCCGTGATGCACTTTATTAGTTACAACCGAGAAAGGCCAAGGGTAAGGATCATGGGCTTTGGACACAGCGTGGGTTCGCTGTGAGCGATCGATAATGCCTCGCGTATCCTTATTCGGTGATTGTCTCGATGACGTAACCGAGAACGTGTTCGCATGGTCTAAATTGTAGCCACTCACAACCAAGTGATGTGCGCTCACCGAATTCGGTCTACGTGATGCAGTCAGAATCTGTGAGTCATAGAATCACGCATGTTCTTCGGGATGTGTTCGGCCATTCTAGTTCGCAGAGATTGGTCTGTTTGACCAATGTATGCTTCGGTGCAGCTGCAATGGGAGGCGCAAATACAATGTCATCCTATTTGAACCCATTTCTCTCGATCTTCCAATAAGTGATTTTCCTCAGATTGGCACTTTCCTTGTCCGTATGTGACAGTGTGATGCACCATTCAGTTGTGTAATTAAGCTCGGAAATCTGTGCTGGAAGCCTTCCGTTTGTTGGGATCATAGCATTGACTGGAATCCGTTGCCTTCTCAAATGTAGCAGAGACGAAGGTTAATTCATGTAGTTTGCATCATTTATTTGCCCATCAATGGTTGAGACTGATCGAAAAAGAAGAATGCAGGTTTGTGAGAGTAAACATGCCAGTGTGGACGGCATCATCTAACGACCTAATCTGATATGACTTGGCTCGAGCTGATCTGAAATTAGAAGTTGCAGAAATTGCTTTTTGAGCAATTTCGGGCTGCTACGCGATTTCAAACACATGCAGTTGTAAGAAATCTGTTTTGTGGCCTAATGAAAAAACTTCCCTTAGGATAAAATAACCAGCAGAAAACGTGATTTCTGTCTCTATACCGCGTGTGATTTATGTAATGTTGCAATATTGCGCTAAATAATGATGATACTTCACCATGACCTGTTGTGACGCCTTGTGCATCTCTCTGACCTTACACACGAATTACACGAGATGTTTTCATTTAACACAAAAGTTGCATTATTCCATTTCGCCTGTTCAGTTCACCCGAGGTACGAGAACCAATTTTCAACATTTTATCAACATCGTATTACACCTGGAGGGTCAAAGCTTATAGGTCAAACAAAGTCCAATTTTTTGGTCTTTCAGGCGGGAGGTTACATTAGGATTGGTTTTTCACTCCGTAGTTTATGATAGATAAATAATCAATCTTAATAAATAGACCTCTACTTCGCTTCACTCGCTGCCTTGAGGTCAGGTTGTTTTCAGAACTAAATGCTCTGGATGAGAACCCTAATCTTTATCCTGTTTAGTAACACCCGTCCAATAAACTCCAACCACGAATAATTCCATACTATATGTGTCACCACAGCTGGTATTCAGGACTGCGTTGATAATTAATTGTCTAGGATTTTCATGTTGTGCACATATGTGTTAGCAATTTTATTTGTATTCTCTGCCCTTTGAAACACTTATAATGTGCAATAAAACACGTCTATTTTGCACAGTATTTTTAAAACTTTAAACCTGCGTAAACGTCGTCTTCGCAGTATTAGTTTGATCTGAATTTGTCGATAGTTGGTAGTTTATTCCCTGGAGTCCAGCGTATTATGAAGTTTGGACGGAATTAGCCTTCAATCTCCATCAATTTTACTTATGCTCTTCATCGACGGAAACAAACAAACACAATGATATAGATTTGTCAAACTTCAGACAGTTGCACAAATGTTGACTCACGTTTTAGCCCATCGAACGAAAGCTTTTACATTAACTCCCTCGGTGAACTTACAACTCCATCTTCCCGTTACGTGTTATTATCGTGGCAGAATCGTAAGAATTAAGCACGCAAAACGGGTGTAGCATCACACATGGCTCAGTAAGGTTGAGCAACCGTATTTTTCCCCTCCCAAGTTGTGCACTTTATCGACTGATTCCAGTGAAGAACTGAATATTTTGAAGGCGAATGGGTGAACTACTCCGTCGGATGTGTTCATATACCGTTGCAGCTTTGATCTCACTCTTCCACACTTAACCATTTGTATATATTCCGAGATTGCCATTAAATGGTGGTAGATGCCACTTTGAATTCGAATTAATTTTAAGAAAAATGAAAAACAAATCAGGTTTTATTCTTGTATTGGAAATGTAAATGAAAACATAACAGATCGGAATGATGTGATGTCACATTCCTTGGGCAAAGGAGAAAGTGCTCCTGTTAAATTTGTGCCTTGGACGACTTTCACTGGTGCGCACTGAACACATCACGGTATCATTGAACGTTCTCTTTCTCTAAATAGTTCACAAATTCATCATGGTCGAGCAAGCCATCTCCGTCTGTGTCGTATTTTTTAAATATCTCTTCCACAAAATGTTTGTATTCCGGTGTGACTATGGGAGCCGCTTTCAACACCTCTTCCACGGAAATTTTTCCATCTCCATTTTCGTCAATGTCGCGGAACACGTATTCGGCCAATTTCTGGCGTTGTCTGAGTTTAATCGGAAAAGGGGATCAAAGGAAAGAGCCGTGAATACGGTTAATAACGTCATGAAGTAAAGCTGATTCGGTACTTCATTCGAGGATCCTCTGTTGTGGGCTTCAAATGGACTCAGAAAAGCCATGCTTAATTGCATGCGAAAGAAAGACATCGAACTGAAACGATCAGATCGAAACTCATCCTGATAACCTGGTATCAGTAGACTGATTTCGTTAATGGACTTTCAACTGGGATATTGATAGACAAAAAGTAATGATACCATTAGGAGGTTGGATACAAGTTCAGGGTTACACAGGCTTCTACATTTGAGCAAATCAACCTCCACAAACTAATAGTTTAAAATACCTTGTTCTGAGCCTAAAGTAGACATGACCGACTTTTCAACAGACTGATTTCATCGACGCACAAGTAACATATGAACCAAATCCAGCGAAATCGAACGGCTGAACATTAGTTGAATAACGTCTATGGCGGCCCGTCACGTTCGCTGTTCGAATGAAGCATGCGAAAGTAAAAATCTGCGTTTTTCCAAATGATCATTCATTATTTCAGTTATCCTAAAACTAAATATTCATTTAGAGCCAAACTTGTGAAAAGATGTTCTCGATAAAAATACTAATATTTTTTTTGAAAGGCTCGTAGATCACGTATTTGTAAATCATAAAGTGACTTACTCCGCTGTCAATCCCATGGAAACAGGCTCTGTGGATAAAAGGAAAACAATAATATTATAGCTCCAGCTATAATGTTATTGGTGACTATTGTTTCACAGTTTAGTTATCATTTGAGCATAGATCAGATGCTTACATAGATAGCTGAGATGGGCCGCAACCGGAAGTGCACAATCAAGCATTTATGCGTTTTCCCAATTCGTTAACCCAACTGGATGTTCACATACGTCAACGAAATGTGTCAACAATGTTCGTGTTGACGTAGGCGGATTGGTGAACCTCATGTACTGAGTATTCCCCGGATAGCAAGGGGATCGATCATCCGAAACAAGATGGGTGATGCGGGAACCCAAGAGAAGGAGAGAGCGAGAGAGATTCTCAATGCAACATACAACACGCTGACTCATTTATCTTAGACAAGGTAAACGAATGCCCACGTGATTTACTCGCAGTGTTTCTGAATGCTGTGACAGAATATCACCGAACAAATCTAAAAATGAGATTGTTTTAAGTGGGTAGAGTAGCGAGCACGTTTGCTTTCGATGTTTCATGATTACGTCAACACTCACAACATAGATCAGGTGATTCACCAGTCCGGTAACAAACTGCTGAATGGACTATTCAGTTGTGTTTTATTTGCGCTGTTATTCGAGGGACCTGTGTAAAATGCAAATCGGTATTTTCCACCCACAGTGTTCGCTTCAAGCCGGTGTCGTTGAGAGTGGAACAAGTGGTTTGTGAAAGACGACAGAACAGAGGAGTGGAGGAATAATGGGAAATGCTTGTGTCTTTATACGTTCAGCTTAGTTCAGAGAAGAACACATGTCCCTTCTTTATTTTTGTTCAGGAGGCGAACAGAAAAATGTTCATTCAAGAAAGGAACCCACTTGTTGTGATGTATACGCTGGACAGCTTACTTACACGACATTTTATATTAGTATCATACACATGTTTTAGGTAATAAAGTGTGCTTACTGTCGTTTAACGTATTCGAGTACAATATCTAAGGGCTCCGTTGCGTACCCCACATGTATCGCAAGAACTTCATATGCATTACAAGGTTAAAGAGCTACTTCATCACCGTTCCTAATTTTCCAATCCAGACGGTTAGCAGGACTCTGAGTTGATCGATCACTAAAAGACAAGTCAAGTAAAGCCAAGAAAAGCTTCATGCACCCAAAAGGTGAATTTTCAGCAGTTTACGAGTTTTACAGTGGATAGATAAAATAATTGTAAACAAAAAAATACACTCACATTTAAAGCGTGAACGAAATCAAAATATAATGCAGTCTACGCCTAGTAACTGTTCTATCAAAAGCACGACGATACTGTACAGATCGAGTGACGATGACATCTTCACAACACCAGTCTGTGCGCGCAGAAACAACTCGTGCATACACTCAAGCCCCCAGGGCCGCATTGTCGACAAAGGAAACCGTCATGAAACATCGGTGCAATTGATAATCGGGGACCAACTGTGATACAAACTGTTGAATAATTTAATTACTTCCCATTCTGTCCATGTAAATCATTCATTGTTATTAGTCGTACTTATTGTGTTTTAATGGCATGATTAAGATAAACTGAAAACGAGCTCAAGTCAAGAAACGCTTTAAGCACCCAAAGGGTGAATTCTCAGCAGTTTACGAGTTTAAATTAGGGCAAGAGTTTTTCCCTGAGGTGGGTGAGGAGATGCTGACGATTTACTAGTAAGCGAGCTAGGTAAGGAATTACACTGTTTCGATATGTGGAAGTCCGCGCAGGAAGGATTTGACATTTGGAGCATGTCCGGGGAATTGACAGGGCTTTCGCGATATCTTGACGCAGACAGTGCCCTTGATCATGCGTTATCCTGTCAATGAATGTGTCACAAGCGTCAGGATGCTTGGAAATAAAGAAATCAACTAAAACAGTTTTAGCAACTCCACTGTAGCGGGAAAAATAGTTTGAGGGATCTTGAAAATGAAGAGAAATCTTTTTCTTTCAGTCCGGGGATAAAAATTGGGGAGCACTATACCCAGTGTTGAAGAATGCAGGCAATCACAAATTTAGTAATAAGATTACGCGGTACCGCCAGTTTCCTGAACCTGTAAGCACAGAAGGACAGTTTTCAAACTTTAGTGAAAACGTTGATGACATGAGCAGACCAGTTCAGGTTATGGGTAAGGCTGACACCAAGGTATTTAACAGATGCAGATTTGGGAATGCTTTGATTCTTAATTCTAAGATCAGGGAGACTATCAACTAATGAAAAATAACGGGGACCGGTTTTAAGACGAAATGGAACTTCGATGCACTTACTGACGTTAAGTTTAAGGGATCGGGTCACAGACCATTCGTGAAGTTCATTAAGACTGTCCTGGAGAGGTCGAAAGCTGTCTGAAATAGGGGCTGGGCAAACAATCACAATATCATCAGCATACTTACAAGCAATAAAGTTGGTGGGAATGAGCAGATTTTGTATATACATGGAAAACAAGAAAGAGGACAAAATGGCACCCTGAAAAACACCGTCCCCAATGTTAATAAA